TGGTGCCTGCCTTTTTTTCCCCTTTCCTCCCCCTCCTTTTTTTTTTTTTTTTTTTTTTCTCATTCTGTCACTCTGTGGCTCTTTTACAATAGCAACAACAATGATCTTGTCTAAATGATTTCACAGGCTATTATTCAGGCACTCAACTTTTAACATTTCAATTTTGTCATTTTGTTGCTACACAAAAGGTGCACTTCTCCAGTATAATGTTCTGAGAATTATGTCAATGAGCAGTAATGGCTTTTAACATTAACTTGATCATTAACAACTACATTATCTGTGGCATAATCAGCACCTCAGTCTATTGTGTCATATTACTGTACAGATTTTGGAAATGAAGGCCCAGCCTAAGCAAAAGTTCCCTGCATTAAGCTGGGAATTTTCTTTTAACTGAAATGCTTTTAAAATACTTTTTTTGTGTGTGTGTATACTTTAAAATTGGGTTTATGTCAGTTTGTTTTATGTCTGGAAATGGGGGATAATTTTTTTTTTTATTGTTTTAAGAGCCTTCAGGTTGGGATTTGAAGTAGGTCAACTAGGCAAGTTTATCTAAACCAGCACAAGCTGCAGACCAGCTCCAGAAAGAATATCTACTTTGAAAGTTCCTCATATCCAAAGCCTGCTCCATTTTTACATCAGTTTTACTCAATCTGTTCCATAAATTTACCAACAGAAGCTCTGCAGATGTTAATGCTTTTATATTGCTAGACAGAGGGTTGCCAATTTTAATTTGCCCTTGCCAAGGAGTCAAAGGTAACTCGAGAGTTTCTAGTTCATTTTCCATGTTGCCTAAATAAAATTGCCCCATGATTCACCTCCACACATCATTCTTGTTTGTTAACAAGTCCCACAACCCACAGTCTTTTATTCATAAATTCATGTTCTTGGGCACAACCTTTCCTGGGAGAGAAGGATCAGCATCCCTAACTCCTCTTACATACTAAGGACCAGTGGTTTAACTATCCTTTATCACTCCACATGGAATAAAACTATTGATTTTAATTGAGCTATGCTGATTTGCTCCAACCAAACACCTGCCCAACTCCCTGCACTTCTCCAGAATCTCCCATTAGGATCTCAGACACGATGGTTGTGACCTCTCATAAATCAAAACGTGGCGTTGCAACCCCCCACACCTGATTCTTATATTCCCCCTTCTTCCCAGACAGGAAAACAGCAAAGCCATGGGTAGGGAAGTGACCATCAAAAGGTCACAGGCAAGGCAGGGGCCAATCTAGGATTCAAGTGAGTTCTCCTGGCTCTCACACGAGCACTTTATCCACTGGACCGTGTCTGTCCATGTGTTAAAGATGAAGTGCCGCGGAGTCGTGGCCATTATGTGCTCTGCTGCTTACACACATCATCAGTTTTTATGGCCCTAATGGTCACTGCCCCACCAACCAGTGGTTACACCAATGCTCTGGTGTCCAGGGGATGTTTCCATGCTACCCAGGTTTACCAAAGGCAAATAGGAAAAAGGTCCTAAAACTTGAGGGAAGCTTCTAAAGCACCAATAGCCATGGAGCCTGTATGAAGTCACATACTAAAGGATACATTTTTAGGATGAACAGGTGTTCCCACATGGAAAAGGGTCTCCTGAAGTGAGAGAACAGTCATGCAGAAGGCTCCCAGAGTGGGCAGAGAGTGGTTGAGTGACCACCATGCAGTAAAAAAAGTCCAAAGCAGCTCCACTCCGCTGTGATGGCAGAGGACCCTTTAGCTGCCACTTTCCACATGATGCATCCTGAAACACCCTGAATGCACAAACAACAAGAACATCAGGTCACAGCCACTCCCAAAAATGGGGAAACCTGCAGCTTTGAAAAGGATGGGTGTTTTGTGGCTGCAATACGGTCTAATGCAGCCAGGAGCTGCATAGCAATGAAAATAATCATTTAGCTCTATGTGTAAATAATTTCATTCCAGTAGCAGTTACAATCGTAACAATAATGAAAACAATCACAGAGACTCAGAGAAGCATTAGAAAGATGCCACATTTAATTTACAGAGTTAGTTAAGCTAAGTCTTACATGAAAGAAATATTTTTAATATAGTAATTAGATATTTGTTGGAAAATTCTTGCCTTATTCTTCAACCAGTTTTACACAGTGTTTATTTTTAGATGTTTCTGTGGTTCCTAGTGTTTGTAACACCTCTGGCTATGGGCTCAAAGATGTGCTTGGGCTGCTTCAGTGCTACAGAACCAGCAGCAATGCCACTGCTCACCAATGGGAGAGAGGGGATGTGGACACACTGCTGTATCCCCAGGGAGCAACAAGGAATTCAGATCTTGAGCTGAAAAAGTCTTCTTTAGAAACTGAAACCTCTGGGCATCTAGTGAGTGTGATCCAAGCACAGCTCCTTGTGTTTTAGGACAATTTAAATGAAAAACTGAATTTAGGACAATTTAAATGAAACAAGATAAAATCTTTATTGGAACTTTATGAACAAGCAGGGGTAGGCATGAAGTCAGCTTTTCACAGCTGTGCCACTGGGATGTGGTTACACATCTCCACTTGGGAGAAGGCTCAGGTAGATTAACATTTAAGGCCACATGCCTGAGATATTTCACCCTTAAAAGAATAAAAACTTTGTTTTGCACACTCACAATGTCATGTCTTTGTTGATAGTTGTTTTGGGTTTTTTTTCAGTAATTCCATTATCACAAATCACAGGACTGTCAAATACCCCAGGACTAGGAAATCACAACCCAATAAGCAGCAGATGCCCTTTTAGGGGTTATTTAAAACCTATTCATTCATTTTTCAAATCCCACAACACAAACTACCTACAACTTATCCACAGCAAAACCCAACACAAAGCCTGAAAAATGCACCATCCTACCTTATTCACTGCTTCAACTAATTTTAGTCCAGGGACTATCTCAAGAAATGAAAAGAAAAACCTAAGAGGTTTCACACAAGCTGTTTGTGTTTAAGGACAGAAGTATAAGCTTGAATGCAACATAAATATGATGTCACTGAACACAGCAAAAGCTGCAGGGACACACTGTGTTTTCATCACAGCACTACTACTGCAGGCACACTTGAAACACTACAGCATCTTCAGACTATAATTATAACTGTTGTTTCTGTGTTTCAAAGGTAATAGAACTTGTTCATAACATTTACACAGTGTCAATGTGCTGCATGCAAAATACAGACCCAGTGTCACAGGCAAAATATTCCCACCAAGACACCTGCAGACCAGCAGGTTATGATTTAGTATCATTGTGAGCAGGAAATAAAAATGCAACATTAGAGATGCAATGCCCAGATCGTTCCACCTAATCAGATAAACCAAGTTAGACTTGCCTGGTTTACTGAAGGACAGATTCAGCTCTTGAGAAGCAGCCAAGTCAAAGGCCATTGTGGCTTGCACATCCTCATCAGCATTCCCCAACGGAGAGACATCATGAAAGATGAAAAAAATTCCAGTAGGAAAGACAACTGACAATGGTGGGGGGAAGTGGAGGAGGGAAACAAAACCATTTACCAGTGCCCATGCTCCCCACCCTCCTCCCGGCCCATCTGAGGTGTTAGTGGTGTGGTGCCTCCTCACCCCACCACCGGGAGCTCACAGCTGTGCCTCCCCCAAGGTGTTGCAGATGGGGTTTCCAGGACATCCTTCCAGTCAGGAATCACCTATAGCTGTTGTACAGAAAGGGTGAGAGGGGATCTCACATAGTTAATGGATAAGTTCGCTCATCTTCACCACCTTGCTGTTCAGCTTCACCCACAGAGGTGCAAAGAGAGGCAGATGTGGCATTTGGCAAGCTGTCAAGGCACATCTTCCTTTTTAAAAGTAAGGTGCACTTCCCTGGCTGCTCTCAGCCCAGTCCTTCTGTCTCTAACAGCTCTGCTGTCAGCACTGAGGATGCCCTTTTCAAACATGGGCAAGAAGAGCTGGGTGATGCAGGGGGAAAACAGCCATTTTCTCCAAGAGCAACCCAAAATGGAGACCTGCACTTTCCACCTCACTCTTTTGCTGAGAGCTGCCCTTAATCCTTGCAGACAATTCCTCATGGAGGTGTTCTTTCACCAGACAGGCCAAATTCACCTCCCTAGACTTTCCAGCCATGGGTGCAGCTGTCCAGCCACACGGAGGGTCTCATGCTGCACCCATAATATGACACAGGGTCCAGATGCCACCACCCTGCCATCAATCACAGGCACAACACATAAACTTTCAGTTTTACCAGCGGTGTCATTTTTATTGTTTCATCCATCACACTGAACTCCTCACTCCGCAGGCAGCCTCTCCCTCTAAGTATTTCTTGGAGTTGTGGAGCCTGAGGACAGAATTGAAGCTTTGGAAGTATCATAAAGGTTATTCCCATTGACACCCACCACAATCTTATTGTCTCTCTAGCTAAATAGTAAGGGTCACTTGGAAAGTGAATGGTGATGCTGCTACCAAGAGTCTTGTGATGCCTGCACTTCCTGTCAGAAAAACACTCAAAGTGAATCTGAAATCAAAGTAGACAAAGCTAAAGTTCTGCTTATGAATGTCCCACCCAGTCATGGCAGTGTTGTCTCCTTTGATTTTAAATTCACTTTGAACACTTTCCAAACAGGAGGTGCAGCTCAACCTTGAAGCAGAAGATGCAAAGTGGGAACGCCACCCGTTTACTCCTCACGTGGCTGGTGCTAACAGGTGGGGGATGCTTAACAAAAACCGTAATAAACCCCCAATGCCAGTTCTAAAAGGGAATTATCTACCCACATTATCCTTTGGTGCTTGTGCTGGCCGGCATGGGCATACAGGGCTTTTTATTATTCCAGAAACCACCGAGTGCAAACGGAGCAGCTCATTCCAGCTGAACCGGGACTTTCTGCATGAGATTTTGGAAAGTAGTTTCCTTCTTGGAGCTGAGATGGGATTTTTCTGGCTTAAGCAAAGTGGGAAATTGTCCACAGTCCTTAACTTCCACTCCTAGCATATTTTCACTCAGTAATTTGCAAGCAAAACAGTCCAGAAAATGCTCAGTCAGAGTAACAAGTTTTTATAGCCACTTTATTTGAAAGAGCAGAATATTTTTGGTAATGGCAGTTGGAATGACAGCTCCCTAAATTTTCAATACAACATTTGCTGCTTTTCCACACATTTATACCTTCGGATCTAGAGATGAAATTGAGCAGCAACTGCACCATGAGTGGTTTGAATCCACAGTCAGGAGGCACAAACAACCTTCCTCCCTCCAGAGTATGGGGGAAACAATAGACTCACTGGAATGATAAGAGAGGACATTTTTCATGGGGACTGAAGCTCCCAGAGCAAGCCAATTCCTGCCTTCACAGTGCTACTTCTTTCCTGATGACACTTAGCTGGGAGCTGGGAAGGGCAAAGCTGGCAGACTGGAAGATTGCCTAATGTGCTGTGACTGACATGTAATCGAATATTCAACCACTGGTCCTCATGTCGGTGGTAAAGTGAATATGACACCCTTCAGCTTAGTTGTGATCACGCCTCGTTCTTCTGCAAACAGTTTCATAAAGGTGCAGCCTGGCTCCTTGGTGAGGCGGATGTGTGAGATGGGAGAGCAGTCACGGAGGTCACCTGCTGCCGGGAACGTGCCGAGGACCTGCCAGGGACTGACCTTTAAATGCCAAGCGCATCCCCGCCGCGCCCCCGCGCCTCGCGCCGAGGTGGGACCGCCACACGCTTTGTTTCCACAGCCACCATCGTGCTTGATGACCTGGACGAGCCACCTGTTCGACATCAGAGGGGTCTTTATCTCTCAGAACCTTTTTGGATCTGTCAGTGCCAAGAGAAAAAAAAAAAAAAAAAAAAAAAAAGACAGACACACACACACACACTCGAAAAAAAAAAAAAAAGAACATTTGGGGGTGAGAAACCCCAAGGGAAGGAACTCAGATGTTCGGGTCAGGCCTTAGAAAAGGTATCAATTCTTCTTTCCACTTAGCACAGCCTGCTGCCTGCCCAGGCTCTTTGTCTCTGCCCTCTTCCCAGTACAGAAAGCATTTCCCTTGTAAATGACATCTGAGCGCTGACATGCTGGAGGCACCCATCCTGCATCATCTCTGGCAGATGGTGCAGCTGGCCACGATTTTCGGGATTGCTTAAATAAAACCACAGTGCCATATCAAGAAATGTAGAGAAAACGCTCAACAGTGCTTAAGATGTTTAAACATCACAAACTGTCTAAGACTTCAGCTCGCTGTACTGCGCATTTTTGGTGATGTAACTGTTCTTATTGATGGCAACAGTGAAATCTCCATCATGACTCACTTCATTTTCTTTCTGGGAGGCAGAGGCAAATCCTATGATATTCCTGCTCTGACCCAATATTAAATTCTTTCACCTTGCTATGCTAGGAAGAAGTTTGGACAGCTGTAACAACACAAGTCAAATGCTTGAGGTTTTTGGAGAAGGGAGTTCCCATGCTTTCAGCATCATATCTGGGATTCCCTGATGCCATCAGACAAGAAGCTGACCCACTCCCACAGCCCACAAAGCCAGAAGCACCTCTGCATGGCTTTCACTGACATCCAAGCAGTTTAGTGTAAGCAGCAGTGCTCGAGCCAACATAAATGCTGTTTTTCCTTTTCCCCTATGGTTTCGCTTGCCTTGAGCTAATTAGCCTTATGGCCATTTCCCTGCTCCCTGGAGATACCATGTTTAGCGGTATATGTATTTTGGGAAAAAAAGCCTTTTAAGTGAAAATTGTCATTGTTGTATCCAGGAGTCATGTAGTTCTTTTTAGCTCTACAATAAGTCTTCAGCTTTTCTGCTAGTGATTAAAAAGGTGGTATACTGGAAAATAGCAATGTTAGGAAATTTTTAGTCATAACTAAATGCAATCTGGTATTGTGAAAGTGAAAAAGGGGATTTAATTCCAATTTAGCAGGGCTCCTTCCAAAGTTTAAGTCCTGGTAGATCCCAAAATACATGAAATAACCTTACAGCATTTGTGAAGTTACCACAAGAGAGCTATTACCTGTAGGGGTCAAAGGAGGCCTCTCCCATCTGCACTGCAGTAAAGCTACTGAATCCAGTGATATCTGGGAATCTGCCTAAAATTTACTGCCTTCCCCAACAAGAGAGGCACTTGGGATGCCACTAACATTCCTGAACAAATGAAGGAGCCTTGGTTTCTTTCTCCAAACCCTCCTTAGTTTTATCTTGCCTCAGAAAAGAGTGACTGTCATGCCAAAGCAGAACAGCTTGCAAAGATACTCAGAAAGTTCAACATGAAGCCAATCCCTGGGAAGCTGAGATTAATTCCTGTGTCGTTGCAGGCAGGTATTTATTTACTGTGCGTATCGACTGGCAAACCTCGAGACATTTCAGAACACCATCACCCGGGGGCATCACCCCAACATCCTCCTCACACTGCCTTCCCTCACAGTCCCCAAACTGGCTGGGAAAGCAGCAGGGAAAGGGCAGGGAGAGCACTCCAGAGCTCCCCTCACATCTCTCCATGAGGGCAGAGCCTGAGCAGGGGCAGCTGGCCGCCCACCTTGGGGAGCAGCCCCGGCTCCGCCGCGCGCAGGCACCTCCGGCCGCAGATGTCGGCTTTTACTGCTCAGGTCTCCCGTATCACTGGGCCACCTGTACAACACTCTGAGCATACAGCAGTTATTCTCTTGCTGGTTGCACTGAAATAATCTTGGCATAATTTTTTACACCGTGTGTAATGCAAAAATCACCTCTTTGGACAAGTAATATGCTCTCGTTGCCTTCTTGGTGGAATATAGTATTTCTTGTCACATCAGGAATTGGCCAGAATTGGTATTTATGATCTGAATGTCTCCATTCCAGGCCCAGATTGCAGTTCCTGAAAAAAAAGGAAGGGAACTTTTACAAACTCTGGATTTTAGATGTGGGATACTGTTGGCCCCTTCTCAAATGCCAAGATGGTGAAAGGCAGCCCCATCATAGAGTTAGGTTTGAATGGAGGCCCCAGATTCAAACACCGATCCAGGATTTGAATGTGGCTTTTGGATTTAATCCCATTCCCAGCCATATCCATTTGATGTAGCAGAACAGGCTATCACACTGGTTGAAAAAGCACTTGGAGCATCTATTGCCTTTTTTCAAGTGAATTTCAAATTCTCTTTGCTCAAACTTAGAGAGAGGTGACATGACTGAATATTACAAAAACATCATTTGCTGCTGCTGCCGCTGCTGTTGAGGATATACAGTAGGTTTTTCCCCTCTGTTTGCTTTAAAAATTAGGTTGCTAATGATAATGTTCCTCTCATAGATGATCTTGTACTTTTTAATGATACCCATAGTTTTCCTCCACATAAATGACTAAATCCTCACAGAAATCTCTGTCTTGATTAGCACTCCTGCTAGTAAAATTTCACATACTAAATCAGTACCAGCTGTAGCAAGAAAGAATGAAAAAGGCAAGTGTAAATGTTCCATATGCCCTACCAAATTGGCATCTGTGTCAGTAACCCTGTGTTTTTTTAAACAATTGTATACATACATTCTCAGAAGTGTTTTGCTCACAGGATTCTGCAAGCAAAATTTCCTCTGTTGGTACATCACTGAAATGTCACATCTAAAAAAACCCCAGCAAGGAGTTTTGCTGCTTCTCCTCCCTACACCCAACCCCGGCGCGCAATTCAAGGAGTTACCTCGAGTTTGCCGCACCTTTGTTTTGACGCCTGCTCCCCGTAACCTGACTCTGGGACACTCCTGCAGAGCTGCTCCACATTTAGCACTCAGTTATTAGCAGCACCACCGAAAGCCAAAGCTGCCACGGCGCTGTCATTTATTTCCAAGCTGAATTCAGAAATAAGGACTCGAGTTCCAGCTCGGCTGCTGGGGAATGCTGCTCCGATGAGCCAGCAGCTCGTCTTTCGAGTGACTCATGAGTGATGATGATGCAGGAGTGAGCTCGTCCCGGGGACAGCCCAGAGCTCTGACCCAGAATGGGCAGTGACTCAGCTTCATCCTGTAAAATCACAGTTTGGGTGCAGGGTAGGTGATAGTTGCAGCCTCTTGGACCAGCCTGACAGTTGTAAACTGGCTGAGCAGCACCTGCTCCATCGCTCTGCTGTGCAGCAGGAAAAAACCTGGAATACAATACAATAAATACCAGCACAATGCAACTTCAAAATAACCAATAACCTCCTTGGCAAAACCACTTTCAAGTCAGCTTATGCCTATCCTGCCACTGGAATTCAGTCAGCATGGCAGAATGGAGTTCCAAAGTTAAACAAACACTAACTAGGGCTCCAAATGGGTAGCGAATGCTGCAGCCTCCTGCAGAAAGGTGATATGGAGACAGACTCTCGGCTGGTGTAAGCCAACCTCACTTCACTGGACTTGGGTGGAGCTGTGCTGATCAACACCAGCTGACTGCCTGACCCACTGCAAACCCCAAAGCCAGCCATCGTCTGTCCCTGACATGGGATGATACAAAGTAAACAGGAAAAATTAAGAAGTTGTTAAGGGCATTAATAGGATGTTTCTGAGAATAATAAAATATTTCTCTCATTTCCGAAAGTCAGGAAGACCCTCTTTCCTCACCCTCTTGGCCATGACAAAGTGGTGACACTTGTCCTGATTTTCTTCCAGTGCAATGTGGAGTGTATATTTGCACATCATGTCATGCCTGTCCATGGTAATCAGAAGCCATTATTTCCAAAAGCTCAAAATTCCCTCCTGGATTCTGGTATGCCAAGTTTTACTTCACAGTGATTTCTTCTCTTTCCTTTTTTTTTTTTTTTTTTTTTTTTTTTCCATGGTTGATTTATAATTCCTGCAAACAGAAGTTTATATGGAAATGCTGACAAAACCATAACTACAGTGTCACGTTAACACTGCCATTGCTGCCTCTTTGTCAGACTTTCCTTTAACACAATGAGCCAAGACTTGGATCAAGTAGCAACAAAAGCCAAGAATACACAGGGCATGGGAGACAGAGTGGAGAAGTGGAGACAAAACTCCTGGTATAAAATCCTCGCCTCAGTGAAATCAAAGGGATTTTATCCTTGGTGTCTAGTCTCACTTCTGCCAGACACTTGCTGTACAATTTGGACAAATTTATCCACTGCAAAATGGACAGGAAAATATGTCCTGCACTTACCTTACAAGTGTTGTAGCATGATTAGCAAATCATGCTCTTAAAGGAAGCAGGGGAAGGCTGGGGATAAATATAAACACTACCTACATATTTACAAAAAAAAATAGGCAAATATTATTCTAGGAATCCTCTATGCATGGAAGGTGGTGGGATTTTTACTGCTCTGCCTGCATGTATTTACACAGAGACGTCAATATAACATTTCCCTGCAACACCCTCATTATTTGGGTCTTCTCTCATGTTTGTGATTTTCAGTTTTATTCCTGGCTTTGGTCTCATTCCTGACATTTTTATGTAGGTTTTGTATGCAACAATATACATATATTATATGGTGTTGAAACCATCAACCCGAATTACTATTTTTAGCACAGTGCAGAGGATGGGACAGAGACATAAGTGACAATTAAAGAGAATATATTCAGAGCTGTCATCAGCAAATATTTTTTTTTCTCTTGCCAGGAATCCTGGGTGCGTAGAAGGGCCTCCTAGGCAAAGTTTTTAAGGCAAAACATTCGGGTCATTTAAAAAAACCCCCAAACAAACCCACAAGTAAATGACATCACCAGGAGGCTGGGCTGCTGTAAGGTTCCCAATTGCCGACTTTGCGAGAAAACTCTTATTTGCTCCCTCAAATTGCTGATCTGCCTCTTTGCTTCTGTACTACCCATGCACAGTGCCTGCAGATGTATATAATTTACAGAGCTTTCCTCATCAAGGGGATTAGGCAGCCCTCTTTCAATATGTATAAGAAGTACAAACACACACTTACCCACTATGTTTTACGCCTGCCTGCAACAAACAGCTGAACAGATTGTGATGAAATTCAGACACTGACAATCTGACAAAAAACCTCTTTTTTCCCTTAAAATCTGGCTTCCAGAAGTTTTGCAAATCTAAATATTTTATTTGAATACCGCAAGGGCCCCAATCTTATGGAAAGCCTACGAAGCAAACACGGAGATACGTGTAGTTAAGGAGGGGGGAAAAAATCGCGCAGACACATACACAAAACACATCTATTTGGTGCAACTTGCCAGTTTTCACAATGACTCTGGTGCGGTTTCTCTGCCTGGCTCCTGAGACTGTAACTAGACTCCTCTAATAAGCACTTTTTGCCCACCAGAGTGTCAACGGTGCTTTAACAGTAGTTTCAGTGTCAAATTGCCCTTTCCTCAGCAGGGATTGTTAAGCCTTTCTGTATTATACTTCCAAGACTCTCACGAGCTGGAGTTGGGAGATATAATATTTTCTTTGAAGTTTGCATTTCACAACACACTGGGATGCAAACAAGCTCCAGTTTCTCAGTAGTCAAACAATTCTGGCACACAGGGACTAGGACTAAATATTGTATCAAATTTTCTAATTATGTCTTTGTGATATTTACTACACGATGTTAGGTGAAAGCAGATCCTAATCAATATAAACCCCCTTGTCTAAACAGGACATCTGGGCTTTTAAATATTCTGTTTGTTGTCTAGAAATTACCCTGTAGCAAGCCACTGTAACAATATAATATCTTAGTCATGGAAAACTTTGGAGTATTTCTGATAAACTTATCATAAACAGATGAGTGCTTTCTCTCTTTCAGTATTAAGGTGATGTAAAAAGTGAAGATAAAAGTCAGCTGTATGCATAAAATCATAGAGACTTTTGCCAACAAAATGCTGTGTTTACAAGTTTAAAAGATCCAAAGTCTGAAAAGGCAAAAAATTAGGATTCTTAAAGTAACACTAACTCAGCCACATGGCACATCCTGGCAAGCACATTTAGCAAAATAAACATTAGCATATTCATATACACATTTCTAGAGCAACGTATTTTTAATGTGGCCAAACTAATTCAACAATGGGAATCTCAACTTTTCTCATTTTAAGGCCAGATTCTCAGCTGGCAGAGACATATTATTTCAACAAACCGACATCACCGACAGCAGCGAAGCAGCAGAGCCGCCGCCTTCTGAGCAGGCAAGTGCCAGAGTCTGATGCACTTAGGATGACAAGTCTCTCTTTCTGACTTCATTATCAATATTCATACAACAAGATAGACAGATGTGACTAAGAATCAGCTCCTCAGACAGAATCCTGAGCCTTCCACCACAAAAGCATTCATGAGAGTCATTTTTCCGCCCGTATTTTGTCACATAAGAGAATCAGGAGGAATCCAGCCCCCCTGGCAGAAGGATTTCACAGCACAAGACACGGGCAGTTGTAACTCTTTGGCCCGGAATTTTGGATGATGCTGATTTTTACTGATTCCTTTGGCTTTATCTGACAATTCCTTGATTTGTTCTTCCGACAGCAACAAACTGCACAGGAGGGGAGCATCTCCCCGCTCATCACAGACGTGTCAGCGCAGGATCATTCCCACAGCCAAGCCTTCCCACAGAGAAAGTTTTTATGCTGAGGACATTCTCTGTGGATAAGGAGGCAGATCCAGCCTCCCAGAGCAGCTGCCTTTGCAAAGCTGGCTTATCCTGTCACCCCCGAGGTGCCCTTGGTGGAGAGGATCTCTGGATGGCGCTGGGCCAACTGCACCAGCCCTTCTGCCATCCCAACCTCCAGCACATCCATCACACCAGGCTCCACAGCCTGGGATAAGGGGATCTAAAAATGACACAAAGCCCCCTTTGCCCCACCTTAATATGACCTATGCTAAATCCAGCTTGGCTGGGGCTGAGGATCAAGGCCCTTAGACACTCTTAACTTAATGCTCCAGGTAGGAATGTAACTCCCCACCATCAGCCCCCGTTTATTTTTATTTTTCCAGTGCTCAGGACTACAGCCCCACTGAGTGACATGCTCCATAAATACGGAGAAACCTCAAAATTCTCAGTTTAAAGAATTATTGCATGAAGAGAAGGCAGCAAGAGGCAATTGCATGCAAGTTGTATATACTATGTGTACATAGTTTGTTGTTTGATATTTTTTTTGCCAAGGATCTTGAACCTCACCCAGCTGGACTTGGAGGCATCCAGAACGAGTTGGTTAATTGCTAACAGCCTTCATAGAGACACACAGGGAATAATCCTCAGATCACTTCTTTTCCCCTTTGCAAGTCACAAAAAAACCCAAAAAACCCCAAAAAAACCCCAAAAACCAAGAAAAAAAAATAGATAAAAGCTTAGCTGTCCGTACTATTTCCAACAGTAAATGTTACCATTTCAGAGTTAGATATGGAAGGAAAAAAAAATAAAACTGGAAAGCACTTCACACTTTTGAGCTCTGTAGCCTGTGAACAAACTGGAGAGATATTGGCAAAGAGGTTCAAAAGTTAGTAAGGGTGACAGACAGAAGAACAGACAGTGCAATTGCTTCATTTCCATAAGTGCTCATGCCAAAAAAATCAGATCTTATTAATAATTAAAAAACAAACAAACAAAAAACCCCATTATTTTGAGAACCAAGAATAAGCCTGACTGGAAAGTTCAGAAAGCTCTGGACATATAAAAACAGAAGGTTCTAGGACAAATCTTGACTTTGAGGGTTTTTTAAGCCCATCCCACAGGGACAGCCAACCTCCCCTGGGACCCTCAGCCAGGAGCACCTAGGCCACAGGGTGGGCATGGCCACCTGAGAGCCCTGGGCCAATTTCCCAGAGACACCCCCAAGCTCTGAAGATCTAAAGATGCCCTGAATAATCCTATTCAGGCAGAAGAATTATAACCATGAAGGGCAAAAATGGAGGGAAATGGGATCCTTCCTCAGGCCCCTGGCAGACACAGAGAGGACAATGGGGAAATAAGAGCTAACACAAAAGTTTCCTTGAGTACGTCTTCAGCCACTGCGGTTTCAGATGAGAATTTCCAGAGGCAGGAACTAAAAGAATATTGTGATTTTCTTTGGGGGATTAATCACTTAGCCGCTTGTTACCTTTTGTTAGAGGCATGACACCCCATAACCTTGCTGCACAAGGCACCAGATGTCCATTTAAATGACAGTTTTGAACGAAAAAATGTTTTCCCATTTGAGTCCACAAGTTATTTTCTTTCTGCTAATACCCCCATGAATTTTAAGGTGAGCAGACACCAAAACGTGCTACAAATGATATAGACGGGTGTTGAGTTCTCTGGGTGAAAATAAATAAATAAATAAAGGCAGTCCTTCCTCCTGCTTGCATTTGCTGGGGACACGTATCCCCTTACAAATAAAAAAAGTATTAAGAACATGTTATGAAAAATAACAAAGAATAGCAGAGAAATCTAAAAGTGAGTGGCACTTCAGATGGAGTTTAGCAAATTAAGTCATTGACCTGAAGAGGAGATTAATACCAAACAAGGTGCCCCTTCTTCTGAAGTAATGAATATTCTTCAAACAGCAAGGGAGCACTGACTGCTGTTTGATGCTGATGACATTGAAAATTTAGGAGAACAGAAATTCCATCATTTTTCATTTGTATGCAAATGTGCCTGTTCCAGAAATTAACCCCTGAACCCCATGTCAGTTTTCATCTGGAGGAATTCTCTTTGCTCGCATCACACAGCGCAGCCTTGCTGCTATCCTGGGGTCACTGGGGCTTCCCCACACACAACAACACAAAACCCTAAAACAAAACAACCAAAACAAAACAAAACAAAAAAAAAAAAGGCCCAAAAAACAAAAAAGGGAAGAAAGTAGGGTGGGGGAAATTGGCCAAATCATGCCAGGCTTTGTTTCCCCCCATTAATGGGGTATAAAGGAGCAATAGAAGCCAAGCCCGTTGTAAAATGCACATCTCTAATGCCTGGCTCTGGGTCCTGGCATCATTGTCATGCAAAAGGCAGCTCTACCTCTTTAGGCAGAGCAGCACCCACTAATCACTTCCACTGGTGTTAAGGTGAACCTTGGGCCAATATACAACCCGTATTACTCTTCCTTTCAGCTCCGGCTTCCACTGTTAAAAAGTTCCTTTGTCACTTAGCACCTTAGACAAATGCGACTATCTGCATCTGAAGGGGAAAGAGATGATGGAGGTTTTTTAATTGATGTGGATTTAATTATGCTAATTTAGACAGCTGTAAAGCCTTTTCAGTAGAGCTGCATAATGGGACCAGCAAATACAGGTGTCCTTCACTGCAGGCGCTTAATGTTTAACCTCAGTCGTTTTGTGAGGAAGGGAAAATGCAAAGTAATGGTTAACCAGCAGAAAGCTCTATTTCTTGAGGACCTAAAGAGGACTCTTCACTTTGATTCCCCCTGCAATCCCATTGAGGGACGCAGAAATCCACACACGCTGAGCAGAGCACAAATACTTTTCATTGCAGTGATGAAGATGAGGCTGAGGCAGAAACAAGAGGGTTCCGGTCTGCCACAGACTTCAGCATCCTGCACATCCTGTCCTTTGCTTAGTTTCGGCCATCTCTGAATAAATGCTTAAATTAAGACAGCCCTTTCTTGTCCTCTTTTTAAATCTTTTGTATCTGACCACCTACAGCACCAGCAACTATTAAAAGCAAGGTATTTTCTTCGGGCGTTTTCTTGATGTCTTATCCAAACCCCTCTGAGGCTGCTATGCCTCTACCTTTCCCACTATTCTTTATCCTACACCCTACATCCTTTCTCTAGGCTGGGGCTAACACCTCCAGGGACCATTTCGAGATTCAGTTCCCAGGTTTAGCTGGGAGTTTGGCCAGTTTGGCTCCCCAGGGTGGTCATGCACCACGGAACATCAGTGCTGCTCCCAGGGAAGAGCATAAATCCTTGGCCAAAGGTGAGGAAGGGACCACTGAGCTTTTTTAGCATAGAATGAATCACAGCCCGGATGTGCCTGTGGGTGTTGGCACCAGATGATCTCTAAGGTCCCTTCCAACCCAGACCAGCCAAGGTCTTATGATTCTGTGATTCTTTGACTGCCAGAGGCAGCCTCAGTGATCAGGTATCATGTTGCCCCTTGAGGCTCTCCTGTTCAGTAGTAGTGTCTTATTTGTATGACCACTACTTTTTCTTCCTTTTTTTTTATTTTTTTAATAGAAATTGTTATTTATTAAGCACTTATTAGAGTAGGAAAGAAATCTTTGGCATACAAGTTCTGGTAGACTTCACTGAAGAAATTTCAGGTGTTATTGGCTGATTTGCACGTCACGCATTGCTGGTGCAGCAACCACAGTCTGCTCAGGAAGGTGGACTTTGGGCTGTGCTTTCCCCCCAGAATATCTTTTTTCAAAGCTGCCAGACTGGTGGATATGCTGGAAATACCTACTACACCATCAGATGGAGGTGATTTGGGTAAAGCAGGAGAGAGAAGATTAAATCCAGGTATACAAAACTATCCACTGCTACATCTTCTTTAGGTCTCCTGAGGCAAAAGAGATAGCAGACATGCTCTCCCACCACATGATGCAGAGCATAGTCCCACTGGGAGCTGCTCTGCCTGTCTCCATCGTGGTGGCACCTGGGCCCTGCACTATCTCTAATTATTCCTAAAGTGCAGAAGAAATTGGTTTTATCCCATTTTACACTGCACTTATATGATTTGTCCAAAGTCAGTGAGAGCAGAGACAGAATATTAGATTTTTACCTTTTTCCATTGTTTGATGCCCCATTGCAACCCCGTCTTTTCCCACCTTTTCCCTCCCTGTCTGCATTTCACCTTCTTACTCCAGGCACTGGCTATGGCAATCCTCTCCATTTTGGCAAGAGTTCCTGTTCTGGGAAATGCTAACGATGGGCACCGAGGGGTTAGCAAAGTCCTGTACTTCAACCAAACTCCCCAGCCTGCAAGTCTGCAAATTCTGCTGCCTGGATACAAATAATTCTCCCCAAACACTAAGTCCCCTCATCCCCTCAGTTCCTCCTCAGGAACACCAAGTGCAGAGTGCTGCACAGCATCAGTCATCCTTCACTTCACCTCCTCCTGTGCTCCAAAGCTGGATACAGCCCCTGTGGGCTCACGCTGGGCAGCTGAAGGGCCAAACACCAGCTAATCTGGGAGATCTCCTTCCCAACAACCACACCTGGCTTCCTGGCCCACTTCCCCCTGAGCCTCCTGGGTCGTTCTGGCAGCTGGGACACCAACAACGTGCTCAGGGTTGGGCTGAGTTTTCCTCTTGGCTGCTCTGAGCCCTTTGGTGCCATTTTCTTTGACTCACCCTTGGTTATGGGGAATGCTCTCAATTTTTAAATAACCTGATATCCACGCAAAAGGATTTGGGGTAGGTTTTATTCCAAGCGTTATCCATTCTTACGTTTGCCCGATGCAGAAATGTAAGAATTGGTCCTAGAGCAAACCAAATCCTGGTGCTTAGCCCAGCAGCAGATCGAATTTCTTCTGCATACCCAGGATGAAAATGCACAGGCTCTCTACCAGGGACAGCCAAGATACAACATACCAATGTGAGCACTCTGTTCTGTATTTTAACAGATTTTAGGAATTTGTGGGAATTCTCTTTAACACTTGGGAGGAAAAGATCTGAAGAAATGCTGTAACAAAAAAATATACAAATGGGTGCTTTGATAACTATAAAGTTGCTTTCTTGGATCGAGAGCTCACATTAGGAACCAAATAAAATATTTAAAGGCAAAAATCCTCCAAAGTTTCCTCCCACAAAAGGGAAAATATGGTCTATGCTATACCAGACCTTCCTTTTGCAAAATCTGTTTAGGAGTTGCCATGAAACAAGCAGGATTCAACAAAGAGTTTGACAATTTCTGTTAAAGTTGCATTTATACATATTTCTAGGAATGGTTGGTTTGATTTTTCTTTAAAACAAAGAGTCAGGTTGCATTTCAGACCACATATAAATATAATTTTGCTCTCACATAATGCTTTTGTATCTGGTGTATTTCCATTTACTGCAGCGGTGTTACCTTTCAGTTACCCTAATGGGAACAAAAGCAGAATTACACTGATAAAAAAAGCTGCTCACAGAAAGAAACACAGAAAAAAAAGAACACAGGAATAAATACTTCCTCTGGCTTATTTAATATATTTGTTTGTCCAAATTGTAGCAAAGATATTTATTTCAACGAATATTGTTTGATCAGCAAGAATAAACACTAATATGTCTTAAACTCCAACATGCAGTTCTTACAATTCATCAAACAACACCTAAGACTGTTTAGCTGGTCAACGAGAAGAAACAACAGAAGGTTCCAGGTCATATAATTATACCCTTCTGTTTCCCAACTTTCTTAGAAATCTCTGCCTAAAAATAATCCCAGCATCCGGATGCCTTGCAGAATTGGCTTATTTTAAAACATATAAAAACTCTTATTGCAGTCTTAGCCATTTTAAGGCCTGGGTGCTGACACAGAGTAACAGCGCTTAGCACTACTATATACCGCTTTCCATCTCCAAAGCACTTTACAAACATTAGCTAATTAATCCTCACAACACCCCTGTGAGGTATGTAGGTAAGTATTGTCATCCAATTAGGTAAGTATTAAGCACTGTTATCCCACCAGATAAGTATTAAGGTCTCCCATTTTACTGGGGATCCTGAGGACAACAGGTTAAGTTGCTTACCAAAGGTCACAGGGGGAGCTGCTAGAACAAAACTTGGGATGCTTTGGTTTCTTGGGGGCTATTCAGGCAGCTGGGCAGCATCCGGGGCTGCTTCCTCCACAAAGGCATCCCTCACCATCCACATGGAAATTAGGGTTTTCTATACCCCTCCAAGACACAGAGTGATGGGTACAGCACAGTGGAAAAGATGTGCTTGAGGAACACAGCTTCTCCCTTTTCGGGGTGGGCAAGGATGACATTGCCCAGCAAAGCTGTCAGGAAGTTTAAAGAATAAAGGTCTTGGATCAGGGCATCTTCCTGTGGGCACACACAGAGACTCATCCAAAAGTATCACCAGGTCTTCCCAATCAAAGTTCCTTCTTCCCCTCTCAATTTGCCTTTCTTTCCCACTAGTCTATAAAGATGGACTCATATTAAAACCTCACATCCTTGCCACAAAGATAAAAACCTTTCCATTGTGGTTTGCATCCTCTGAACATAAAAAAAGTCCAATTTGAAGCCCCAGCTCAGAGGCTTCCATGTCTGTAAGAGAGGCTTGAATTCCCAAATGCACTTGGTGGGACAAATCCCTTTCCAGAGGACCTAGAGAGCAGGACCAGCCCAGCACGCTTTGGGTTTAATCAAGTCTCAACAGATGTCAGGCTGGTGAAATAACATCATCTGTCCCCCAGAGACAATGCCAGCGTTCACATCTGCTTCCAATTTCACTTCACTGCTGGAGAAAAAGTGAAAGCTCCTACTGTAACTCCACTTGGAGCTGCAGCTGAAAGTTAAAAGAATCCTGAACAAAAGTCTAAATTGGACTTGATGGTCTTAGAGGTCTTTTCCAACCTAAATGATTCTGTGATTCTCTCCTTGATTTGGAGTCTGATGGGTTTTGTGAAGTGCTTGAACTCCAGATCAGTGTGAGAAGGCCCTGAAACAGGAAAACCCACCCTGAGTGAGCCTGCAGAAGGTGCAGTCCTCGGCAGGGCACATTTCAGGGTCTGCCCAAGGACCCATCCACCTGTGATGGACTGCTTAGAAATTTGGCACTTGACTCATGACAATGTCATCCAGCTTTTTTTCTGGATGCAAGGGACCAGCACAGAAATGCTTCAGCTCAAGCTGGAGCTGAGGCAAATCCCAATTGTTAAAAAAAAAAAAAGGGAAAAAAAAAAAAAAACAAACCCTTGACTAGATTTCAACTGTGCTGATTTATGTTTTCAAGTGGAAGGCAGTTTTAGCTGAAGTAAACTACACAGTTTTTAGAACATTCAAAATTCATGGCAGTTTGATCCCACAGGACGTCAAACAAACACAAATGATTTGCCAGGAATCCCTACAAATCGAAATAACCAAACCACACACGGTTCCAGCAATAGTCTTCAACCAACTCTAAGGCAGGGAAAAATAAGGATTAAAATGGAGAATTTTTATTTTATTCATCTACACAAAACATCTCCAGACCAACTGCACACAAAGAAGGAGCACAAATACATAAATAACGTCTTGAAACTCAAAACTCCTCCAACCCACAAACCAATAGGAAATAGACAAATGAAAATAAGAGTAATGAAAACATAAGGTACATTTAGATTCCCCTGCACTCTGCAGAGTGGTTTCATTTTTGCATAGGGCTGAAATAGAAAAGGAATTAATCTGAGAAAGCCAACACCAAATGCAGGTAACAGACATAATATCATGTGTGGTACAGTCATGAGAAAGAAAACAGACAACCAAAACTGTGACAAGAATGTGCTTAGTTATATTCTTTCAAGCTTGGTCTGCCAGCATTTTCTACTTTTTTCTTTTCTTTTTTTTTTTTTTCCTGTGTACTGGTCACCAGTGTCTGCCAAAAGACTTTTCATGGATTTCTGCAATTCCATTTCCCCCCAAACAGAGGAAATTATGTTTCTCCACAACCACACGACCCGGCTGTAGGTTTTACACCACGATTTGTTGCTGTAAATTAACACAGTGACATGCCACCCCCTGCCTAAATAACCAAGACCAAGTCAGTTGCAAAATTTCAGTGTGGGTTATGCAAAATGAAAGGATTAAAAAATGAAAAGAGCATTCACTTCATGTTGCTCCTTTAAAACATTATCACATAGCTCCTTTTTTTTTTTTTTTCTAACCTGACCTTTTTTTCCCCAGTGGTTTATCTATAACTTAATATAACTAATTCTTTTGAAATAATGTTCACAGTTAGCATAATTGGTGTTATATAGTTCTAATGTACATTACAGAATATTCTGTCACTAGACACTAAATTGAAATTTTAAAGAAAATGATAGAAATAGCTGTAAGGGAAAAAGTACCCTTTTAAATCTAATTTGCTATGCACCGCAGTAGGGTAATGGATGCAATGAAAGTTCCTTTATTGAGTTCCCATGTCCAAAAGGTATTTAGGTAGCAAAGGATGTTAAGCAGACCCCCTGTGCTCCTCCTTTAAGTAAAGATAGCAGGAAATAAGGTATATAGGTTTGTGTCCTCCTGATTTTTATTTCCTCAGGAGCACAACTTATGCAAAGGGCACCTTAGGCTACTTGGAGGATCACAAAGGGTGCCCTCGACCCCCTCACTGTCTGCATGAATAGAAGCATCTAAAGGATGGCTGAAGCCATACAGCGAGTTAAATCCTTCAGGTGGGTCTTTTCAAATTCCAATAGTGAGGAGTTACTGGAGAATTGGTAAGGATTTCACTAGGCCCCAGCAGGTTTGAGATCAAAAGCCCTGGTTAAATAAAAGCCTGTTGGGAAATCTTAAAACCTCTTTGTAATGTAACTTTAAAAAGTTAATACAAAGAGCCCTTAGACTGAAGCCTGTAACAGCATGAACAAAGAGTATATCAAAACTGATTCCATTAAGGGAAGGCAGACAAATAAATTCATTTAATTTAAAGAGAAATCAGATATATTACTCTGCTTAAAACTAAAAAGCATATCAGAAAATAAAAGCCAAACAGATTTTGCAATACACATGCACATAGAGCTGTGAATAATAGCGATAGATAAATATAAAAATCTATTTATAAATATCTCTCAGAACAGAGAACAGAACATTATATACACACATATATGTTTAAGTATCAATTTATCCAATATGTGCGTGTGTGTGTGTGTGTATAATTCTAATATATACATATTTTTATCATTTATGAGGCCTCACGCTGGGCTCTCAAATCTGCAGTTAGCTATATCTGTATAAGTATCCAGAAAAACGCAGCCGAAAGAGCCCCTACATTCAAGCTGACACAAGACATTTTTCAACCCAATTAATTAAAAAAGATGGGTGCTCATCAGTCAGCTGGCACGGGATTTTTCTCCATCATCCTGCCAAAGTGTCACAGTGTTAGTTGCGCAGCATGTTGGAAACAGAAAATCTGGGACTAGGATTTCGATATCATTTATTAGCTGACCTCTTTCCGAGCAGCTCTTACACTTTTTACTCCTTGGGGGTCCTGCACCGGGGGCAGGAGGGCAGGGAAGGGAAGGTGGAGAATCACATGGAACCATTTTTGTTGGAAATCCCTGTTAGATCATCCTCTCGGCGAGACGCTCGGAGATCTCGTGTTGGACACCCACCCTGGGGATGGGGCAGCACTTACTCAAAGCAAGCTGTGTCCTGAGTATCCCATGAGCAGGGGAAGGCTGTGTCCCTGAGGGACAAGGCTGGGGTCCCTCCCTTCACCCAGGGTGGGGTCCCTTGGGTGCTGGATGCTCTGGACCCATGGGAGGAAGGGTCCTCTTGTCCCACAGCTTGCTGTCCCCACAACAAACATGCACTGAGAATTTTGCTCCCTCAACCCTCCAAGAAAGGAAAGGAGGGGATGAATTTTGCTGGTCTGAATTTTGCTGGTCTGTGAGGCTTTTTATTATTATTATCACAGGGGAGATGTGGCCATCTCCTTAGCTCAGAAGCACATTTCACTGTTTGAGAAATAATATTTCTCTCACGACTCCATAGGCTGTGCACTGGAGGAGGGAGTTGTATGAGTGGCAAAACTGAGGGTGAACAGTTGCAAAAATTCATGTTCTATGGGATTTAAAAAAAAAAAAAACTTTTCTCCTTATAACTAAATTCTGACATTTTAGTTCAGCAGCGCTCATTAAGGTTGTATATAGTGAGGGAATGGGACCCACCCTCATTGTCTAAACCCATGAAACACTGCTCCTACTGCAGAAACAAATCATTCTGTCCCTCTATACTTTAATAACATATTTTCTGGAGATAAGAAATCAGCAACATGTTTCACATATGGTGCCTTTCATCCTAGTGAGCAGCAATGGTTTCACAACCTACACGAGTGGCAGTTATTTTATTTTATTATTTTATTATTTTATTTTATTTTTTAAAATTTTATTTTGTTTTGTTTTGTTTTATTTTATTTTATTTTATTTTATATTTTATTTTATTTTATATTTTATTTTCTTTTGTTAGAACCCTTAAAATGCACATCAAATCAAAGCCTCTTAACTATAGGTATGCTTATCATTTAAGCAATGCCATTCCTGGTGATTTTGGGTGAATTCCACCAAATGAGTGCAGGGACCACTATTTATCAACGGACCATTGCTGTGTGCACCAAATCACTGTGGTGGCTACCAAAGAACTGCCCTTTGCAATAGAAACCACAGAAAAAATGGCAAAATGAAGGATTTCAGACGGAGATAGGACCACAAGAAAAACTCAGGTGAGAGATGTTGGTATTTGGGAACCTCAGTCTCAGTGCTGTGACTCACATTCTTGCCCTAGCAACAAGTATCTAATAATCACAGGAGATAAATGTCACTTTTGACCATTTGCTGCAGAGAAAATCTCTCTGAAAACACCGTATCTAATAATATCAAAGGTTGTGGTGGCTTCTGCATGGCTGGCAATTTTTAGACCAGTAGAGGATGAAGTTTTCTGGTTCAAACAGGAATTAATTGAGGGAAGTCATATGGCTTGTGTTATACACGTGACACCAGATGATCCAAATAGTCCTTTCTTGGCCTTATAATCTACAAATAACCTTGTGGAGGTACTGCTCTCCTGTGGATTAGTGGCAAACCAATGCTCCTCTTGCTTGGATGAGTTTTCTGATCTAAATACCACCCAGACCTGCGTGGCCTACAGGATTTGACTGGATCACGGTCTCAGACGGAGCCATTGCCAATTAATGCCAGACATGAGATAAACCAGGGTAGGACACGCTCCACTTCAGGTGCTGTGTGATCCTGGAGTGTCATTAGCAGCCACGTAACAAGCCAGCTCTGAAGAAGAACAATTTTGCTATAAAGACACTTATAAATATTGTTTTCCCCTTGCTATCTCTGCATTACCTTGCACCATAAGGCCCAGGCAGTCTGTCACCTTGGGGATCTTTGGCTCTGAATTAATCAGCTTCATCTGCAAGAGCAGGTATCATTGTGGCCAGTTTATAATCCATAAAAATAGTAAAATTCCAGAATGATTTGTCTAACAGGACAACCCATTCCTATATGGAAAATAGAGCATATGAGGTCTTGCCTATCTTGCTTGGATTAGGAGGCAGAGGAAATACCTGGCTGAGCAGTGCTCAGGAATTATCAAGTTGATGATATTACGGGAACAAGCTGGGTCTTTATTTATTGGCTTCACATGGATGCCTCCAAGTTCAGGTTGCTGGAGTTATATAATGCTAAGCCTCCTCCTGACCATTCCACAGCCCTGACTGCTCCCACTGATCCGTCAGTGCAGTTTTGCTGGGAGATCTGTGCCAAGGAAAGCCAGGCTGCACCTGAGGTGAGCTCAAACTCAGTCATCACTGCAAAGTCAATCAGAAATAGCCATTAAATGCAGCTATCTTTATTCCTGTCTCTATCTCTCACCAGGCCTTGTTTTACCCCGGAGGATAATTTTTGGTGTAGAAGGAAACATGTCATTTACTAAGCCAAGAACCACTTCCTTTAGTATCTACAAAAATTTCTTCTGAGGTTTCTCTTTCAAGCACCAGTCTTACTTAGACCTGCAGGCTGAGACAGTAGCAAAAGGTGGGAAAATTTACAGTCATTACATTGATTAATCAGCTGCTGAAATTTGGCTTTCCAGCGTGACACCTCCATTCTCTGAACGTGTGGCCCTACTGCAATGCAATCAATTTGTCTGTGCAAGCTCCAAAACCCCAGAGCCACACGATGCAAAAAGGCAATCTTCTGCCCTCTTTGACCACAATAAGCAACATTACTGAAATCACCACTCCTGTACAAGTGTAGCATGACCCCATATTTGTAGGCAGCAGAGTATGACTTCATTAAAAACCACGCTCTGTGTTAGGGAGCGGGAGCAAGGCAAGCCAGCAGCAGAGCAGCATATGTCTGAAACTGATAGCAAAATGGGTGATGCCTCAAACCCCACCTCTATACCGTTATTTACATACATATCTTTCATCTGACATGGGCTTCCCCTCCAGCACCTTGAATATATCAGTCCTAAGGAAGAGACTTTAAGTTCAAAGAGTGCCATCCCCAAACCAAAGTAGGGGGTTATCAAGTGAGGTGTGCCAAGCAGTAAGACAAAACATATGCATTTTTAATAGATAGCCTCTCCTCCCCCTGAGGAAGCCAAGAAAAGAGACTCTGTGAAGCTTCAGCTGAAAACAAGTTCAGTGGATTTATACTCAGGCTGCTGTTCACAGAAAAACAAAATTCACAACTCTCATATATGTATTTTTTTTTACTAGATGTTTTCCAAGCATTCTTCAAAGCATGCCAGCCCCACTCGAGGTCCTGTTGACCAGGTGAATTCACCTCCACACAGCATTCAAAAAGAAGAGAGTGACAAAAAGATCATGAAAATGAAATAAAAAATAAAGAGGCCATGAAAGAGAAACAAAAACCTCAACAGGTCTGTATGGAATTTCAGCAGCACTTTATTTATTAATGCATATGAAGCTACCAGTGTATTCCAGCTCCCAAAGACAGATCTGTAAGGAATAGGCCACATGCTGATTGACAGCAGCCATAATTCCATACAATGAGACTGTATTAAATTGTTTGATGTGATATGATACTCATCACTTGTAACTGATCAAACACACTGCTGCATCAAACAGTATTACAATACAATCAGGCTGGATATGGTTCCTGCCAAGGCTGTTCATCACATTGCACACTCCTGCATTAAACATATCTATTAATAGCATTGACAAACTACTCCTATCCAAGTTGTTGTTTTTTTTTTTCCCCAAGAATTGCAGGACGTGGAATGTGCAAAGAAATCCACAGATAATGCTTTACAGTTCGAGGCAGCACTTCTGTTGGCTGAATGGTCCAACATAAAAGGCTTTCCCAATATGGGAATTTTGTAAGGTAATGCTAAAAGCTGCAAACCTGTGCCCCAAATCCAAAGACCTGACATTCCTGCTTCCCTTTTTCTTCCTTTTTTTTTTTTTTTTTTTTTTTTTTTCTGGTCTGACTTTTTCTTTCTCTCCTATATGCAAACAAATTGAAAGATTGACTCATTTTTGACCAAGATTTTACTTTTGCTGTTCCAATCCCCAGGAGAGCTGCTATCTTGAAGGAGAGAGTTGTGTCTGACCCTTCTAGAGGAGGGAGACATAAATAAAAGGAGCAAATTCCTTGTCACCACTGCTGCTGCTGCAGACGGCGAGGGTGACACTGCAGCCCACGGGGGACAGGACTGGCTGTGACAGGACAAGTGCAGGGGCTCTCTCTGATGCAGATTCTTAAATGAGCCTGGGTCTCTAGAGGGCAGAGGTCAGCCATCCTCAAACCTGTGTGAATGCTAGATTAAGTTTATTAACCACTCTGCTTTCACTTAAAAACCAAATTATAGGATGGTTAAATGTTAATGCCCAGGAGCTTGTGAGACGATCAATGCCCTCAGTTACCTCTGCTAAGGGGGAGCACAAGGGGTTCAGACCCCAGAAGGATGCAAGAAGTCAGAGTGATGACCACAGAACACATTCTCCTTGTGAATGGCCACGTGCTTCATGCCTGGTGTATGTTTTGTTTGCAGTCCTGACACAACACAGGCAACTCAGACACAGAAGCAAGACCCAGGGAGCGATGGATTCCCACCTGGATGTCCCAGATATCCAGCCTCAACCACAGCTCTTTATAAGGGATTTATACCAGTGCTGGGGCATGTTTCCAAATGCCCATCTCCCTGCACTGACCCAGAGTGCCCATGAACAGCACAGAACCAAGCCTGCAGTGAACGTGGCATTTAGCCACCTTCGGAGCAGCCTCTCACAGGGCAACTCATTAAACTACTCCAGTGTGTAAAAACCAAGTGATAAACAAATATAAGGAGTCCACAGAATTCCTCATGGACAGGTATGCACATCATAATCGGACAATCCTCCCCCCTGATTGCTATCTCAGCTTGGGAAACCCAGGATCCCATAGCCATGGAAAATAGGAAGTAATACACAGGAATGCATGCCTGAGTAGAGCTGGCACCAGTTTTTTTCAAGCTGGGATTGTATACATTTTACATTTATGAATATTTTTGCAAACTGCAGTGACAGAAGGTGCCTTTTGTCCCATTTCTCACTCCTGTAATGTCAGTGTGAGCAGATTAAGCTCATGGCACAGTAGCAAATTATCTTTGCTGATGGAACCAGCTCCAAAAAGATTACTTAAGAGAGGTGTGTAGGGCATTTCTTTTTCCTAATTAAAAATATTAAAGTCTTTCAAGATAATAAAACGCCTCAGAAGGTTATGTTAAAGGCTAGGAAATATAGAGGAAAGGGCTGGAAAGGCTTTTCCACTCTGATGGACAGTTTTTAACACTAAGAGCCCAGTGCAGCGTGTAGAGCTAAAGAAACGGTAACTTTCTATCTGGGTGTAGCTAAGTAATTCAAGATGCTGCAAGTTAAGTGTAACAGCAGAAAGGAAGAAGTTCAAAAACAAAGTCCCAGGCATTTCAGTGCAGTGTACAGTATGCTAAATTATGGTATTTCAGAAATTGCTGAGAGTTTGGCCACAGAACGTTTCATACTGCAGCAGCGTTCTGCCAGGGCTGCCCTCCAGCAAGCCCAGACATTTTTTTTTTCCTTTCACCTGTGCTGTTTTTTATTCCCCCTCCTGTTTGTTAACACAAATCAAACACTATCAGAGAATTACAGCCCTTGTCCTGAGAATGTACCTCTCCCTTTATTAAATCAGCATGACTGAGAAGTCACCATGCACCAGGCAAAGACAACTGCAAATCTGTGCTTACCCTCCCCGTACCACCTGAGTGCCGCTATTATTCCTCATCCTTGGGGAAAGGACCCCATATGTGAGTTTCAGAAACCACCTCAGTAACTCCAAGCATCATTATCAATAGTAGGATGAACTGCAGCTGGGATGCACTGAGAAGGCAGGGTAATACTCGCCCTAATCTCTGCATTCATCTCACTGGCCCTCACTAGGAAGTTTAAGTACATTTACTGGGGATTCTTCAGCCCTTGAAAGGTAGGAAGACATCTATGAGGCTTGACGTACCAGCTAATTAACTTGGGTTTGGAAAAAAAAATCTTCTTATCTACTTAACTTGGAGACACTCTCTTTGTTTTTAAGCCTGCAGACTACCTTCTCTTTAAAATGCACGTTACGTACCACTCCGTAGTATGGAATGTATTATTTTTAACGAGGACCTATTTTAACTTGGACCAAAAACTACTAACATTTGACAGAGGATTGATTTTTTTTTTTTTTTTAAGCTATTTGCAGAATCAGCTGAATGATAGTCTATAGCCTGTGTTTTGAAAAACAGGCTACAAAATCCTCACGCTTTCCTTCTGTCCTTAAAAACACGGGCACACAAACATATGAAGCGTTTGGAAATGAAGCCCCAGATGCACCCACACCTCCCCTCTCCCCCCAGAATCTATAAAGGAGTTTAAATAAATCTCTCAGGTTTTGCTTCTCGGTCTCTAGAAGTGGGGAATATTGAGGCTGGGAGAAAGTGATTGAATTTGTGTCTGCAGTGGTTGGGGCACGTGAGTGTTTCCTGCAGCTCTTCTGACAGGAACACAGACCTGAGCAACTCCTGTAACATCCCTGCTCAGAATTAAACCACCCTAAAATTTCCTGGCACAGAGAGATTTTAAATCCTCACTATATCCCTAACAGATAGAACAGTGGCATGATTGACCAAGCTTTTTTTTTTCTTCTTCTTTTTTAAAGTACACATATGATGATGCATCATAGTTATAAACAGATGGTATTTGGCCTCCTTCCTATTCTCAACATTTGGAATTCCTAAACTATGTGAATTAAACAATAATATTTTATAAACATACAAGGGATTTTGCTCACTGCTTTGTTAACATAGAAATTATACAATGCTGACATTTATTTAAATTTTAAAAAGTAAACAAGAGTGTGTATTGAATTAAAGCAAACTAAAATCAACAGAGAGAAATATGTTCTGTGCGCACATTACCTACAACGGCACGGGCCTTTTTCGGGGAGACATAATGGGATGAAGCACAAATTGTAGCTTAGACAGTCTGATCCTTTGTGCTCGAAAGGCTCATTTAACACCTCGCCGTAAACAACGGATATTTATACCATAATTGGCCAGTTGACCATCAGTTGTTCATTTACTCTGTAACCTGCTATTATGGAGTTAAAAGAAGTTCCTTTCTGTTGGCTTTTCTAGGAGTGAAAGTGTGTTTGCAATTTTAGTACCAACTGGATTCAGTCTAACACTTGTACTTAGTATGAGAAACATTTTCATAATACCAAAATTTGGGGGAATAAGAGTATTCCTGCCAGGAAGGGAAGAAGAAAGTATTGGTTCTTAAAAGAAGAATTCTGTTTGCTTGGTTTCCTCTTTCCTTTCCATTTTAACCCCTTTTTAGGCTCCTCTCGAGCTGTGCAAAATTGAGAAGCACTTAGGTTTTAATCACTATTCCCAGGTCTGCAAAGAGGTTCTGTGATGAATAAATAATGAATCCGAGATTTTAATCATTGTTATGATTTTTGAAAAGGCTAATTATCATTGTTTACAGACATGCCTTTCCAACGCATTTCCTTGTTTTGCCTTCAAAGCTCCAAGGGTTAAGCCCCTCGCACGCATCCCTCCCATCCCTCCCCAGCGCCGCGCTCCTTGCCCGGCATTTCTTTCGGGGGCTTGAGGGTATTTTTTGTTCGTTTGGTGTTTTTTGGGGTTGTGTTTTTCCTGGAGGAACCGCAGGAGAGCCGGGGAAGGGCTGGGGGAAGGCTGCGCACCACGGGCGGCCGCTCCGCACCCGCGGAAAAGCCACGGCGGGGAGGGGGAAAGCTTTTCTCCGTGCTGTAGAGCGATGCTACAGAAGAACCTGATTTACAAAATAATATTTTTATTATCGGTAATGTCGATGATAAAAGTGGCGGGTGGCGTGCGTCCATCCCCGCTTCCCGGGGAAGCCGCAGCGCCGGGATGCGCCGGGATGCGCCGGGATGCGCCGGGATGCGCGGAGGGCACCGCGGGGCTGCCCTGACAGCGATCGCCCCCGGCTCAAACCCTTTGCATTATTACATTGCCATGATTCTTATTATTTATGATTTTTACCATTACAGCCGTCACTGGCCTCGTTTAACCCGGCTTGCCCGCACCTCCATCCTCTCGGCCGCTCACCGGGATGGGCAAAGCTTTTTCCGCGGGTGGGATATTCCATGCCAAGGTCCCGATTCCCTCCGGTGCCCTCCCCTCTCTCCGCAGCCTCCTCCCGCTCGGAGCTCGCTTCGCAACAACTTCCAACCCCTGCAGCCCCCGAGGATCGGCTTCCAGCAACAGCTGCGAATCTTCCCTAAGAATCCAAAGAAATATCAGAAGATTAGGCAGCGATGCTATTTACTGCCCTGTAATTAAAGTTCTATCAGTGTTTCTATTATAAAACCTTATTTACAAGGGTTGGTAACTCAAAAGGAAGAATTTTCCTGCAAGATGAAGCCTCGCTGAGAAGTATTTTGGTTAAATAAGGTTAGCCTGTTAGAAGGTAAAATCCTGAAGGGCTTTCATTAAGGTGCTCATGTATATCTGCATATACACTGCCAAGTCCCCCAAATCAAAGATATATAAGATGAAATTTTTTTTTTTTTTTTCAAAAATCAAGGATTCGCAGAAAGGCTTTAATACAATTCTCTGGGAAATTATTCCCATGAAAACAATTTGTTTGAAAGAAAATGCCCTCTGGTCTTTTCCACACAAACTGGTCTTGGGCTAGTACATGAAAACCCAACTTAAAAGTGCCTATGAGCAGAAAGGAGGTTGGTTAATTATTTTCAACTGTCCTTTCTGGAATAAAAACCAGAGTAAACAGCTTGAATAGGGAAAGGTGAATTTAATTTTCAAGGCCCTTTAACTTTTAATAATCTGAGGAACAAGATGGGAGGTACATTCTACCCTCCCAGTTATCCTGATATAAATTCATTCAAGATTTATATTGGTGTAATAGAGAAGCAGAATTTGCTCCGTGATTTCTAATGAACTGCTGGCTCGGTCTTTAAAAAACGCAATTAGAAAAATCTAACCACCTAATTCAGAACAGCTTTGAGCTGAGGCAGAGGTCTCAGTGCTGCAAACAGGGATGGAAGCTGGTCGGTGCCACAGCTCCTTGCTGTGCCTGCAGCACCAGTGGGGCTAGGAATGCTGGAAACGGTTTGGTACAGAATTCCCAAATTGTTTCAGGATTTCCTTTTCTATTAGAAGGAAAAAGACAATTCTCACGTAGAATAAACCTGTGTTTCCTGTGATCTCAAATGCTATGACAAAAGGATTGTAGGTTTAGGTGCCTGGCCTGTTACTGATGCAGGAGGAGCTGTTTGGTCAGGGTGAGGCTGACACACAGTTGGGGAAACCCAGCTCTGACTGCACCGAAACTTGTCTCAAAGCCTTGGCGCCGCTGTGTCAATGCAGGTGAAACATCAATAAACATGAAAGTAAGTCAAGGTTCAATTCTCTTGCTCTACTCACAGGATTAGGTGTCTGCATTCGCCACTTACTCATTTGTGTAAGAACAACAGGACCAAGATCCCAATTTGTCCCTCTGACCTTCTGAAGCGAGGGACTGAGATGAAGCAGCACGGGGCGACACTCTTGTTTCCTCTGCTGAAACTGAGAGGCAAAACTCTGTGTATTGTTTCAGTCTGCAGTGCTGAAGGGACACTCTCTGGGGGAAATATCACCTCTGGCTACCTGGCAGCCCTGCAAATATCACCTCTGGCTACCTGGCAGTCCTACATCACTCTCCTGACTGAGGACCTCAAACAGGTCAGGGTGGCCCCTGACACATCCTGTGATGTGGTAAGGACACGAAATCAGAATTGTTTGGGTTGGAAGGGACCTTTAAGCTCAACTAGTTCCAATCCCCCATCATGGAAACAGACACCTTCCATTGCTTCAAGCCCTGTCCAATTCAGCCTTGAACATTTCCAGGGATCCTTACTCCAGAACAGCTGTGCATTTTCGCTAAGAATGTAAAGAAATATCAGGAGATAACACAGCATTGCTATTTATTACCCTGCAATTAAACTCCTCACAGAGTTTCTATTATAAAACGTTATTTGCAAGGGTTCATAAGAAGGGAAAAATTTTCCACCAAGATGAAGCCTTGTCCAGCAGACAGAGCTGGGCCTGGTTGAAGAAACACGGTCAGTAAGTTCAGCAGGACAGGGCTGCACCTCACCAAGGAGCTGGGTGAGACCTCCCCTGGCCCTGGGGCTGCCCTGAGGACAGCAGGAGCCTTTGAGTGCAAACCACACAGCTTTGATGTTTCGAGTCTGCTCACCACAAGCCCGAGTGCAGCATTACAGCATCTCCTCTTTCCCCTTTATCGGTTTGGAGAATGACTCACTGTGATACTTGAAGCAGTTTGCTACAACTGCACCATGCCTCAGTTTCCCCAGCAGTGAAGCCAAAAAATATTCCAATTTGTTGGTGCAAAGTGGGATGACACTGGTGAACATCTCTGGTAGGAGTGCAAGGCAGTCCTGCTCCTTGGGTCTTCCAAGGATGACCACCACTCTTGGGAAGACCACGTCCACCCAACCACAAGCTGTGCCTAAAGCCAAGCTGGGCTGTGGCCTAGCAGAAAGGAGGATGGACCCGCATACAGAGAGATGATAACTGCAAAATTACAACTCTGCAGTGCTAGGAGAACAACAAACACTTTCCATTGTGTCTCCCTGGCTTGTTTTTGATTGCTTCATGGGGTAATTTTAACAAGAAGTAACACATGCTCTCTCTCATGCTGAAAAATGACATTTCAGCTTCTTGATGGTGTCAAAGACACTCGTGGGGAGGGGGACCAGCCTGTACCTTTCACCCCTTTCAGGGAGAGAAGCTGCCTTGCCTGATCCAAGGGAAGCTGAGACCAAACATGTCTGCAAAGACAAGTCTTACCAGGCTTCACGTCATAATACCTTACCGAGAGTCCTCTTCCTGCTTCTTCCCAGAGCAGAGTTGAAAATCTTGGAATTGCCATAAGGTTTTATTATCGCTTGCAAACCAAATTCCACTTCATCAGATAAAGACACAATTGCATTCATTGACTCTGACACAAGGATATGCATGGTGATAAACATACAGATAGATGTACACACTTATACATGAATGAGATATGCTAATTAAAAATTGCAGTGGGCACTTTATTAAAAATTTATTGTACAATCTACATCTTCAAAACATTTTACATCAACAAATATTGCGGCTTGACTGCTGGAATCATAAGTGATTTATCTTTTAAAGACTGTATTTGCAACTGGATGCAAAGATTCTTGATGAACTGCCATTACATTTAAACTACTGGTTTTTATTGGAAGTATTTTGATTGTTATCTGTTTGTTCTCCATCCTTGAGAGAAATAAAACAAGTGTCTCAGCTTTCATTTTATCGGATAGATGGCACCATGTAGCATATTTCCCATGCTAGTTTGAATTACAGCTGTTTATCTTTCAGCTTTCTTTAAGATTAATTAAATGCAAATGTAACTCCACGAATCATGGGATTACCTGCCAGACCCCTTATTAATACCTTCACTTAAAAACCCCTTTGCCAGAGAGTCATTAATTTGCAAAAAAAAAAAAAAAAGAAAGAAAAAAAAAAAAAGAGAGAGAGAGAGAAAGAGAGAGAAGTGCTCAAGCAGCCCTTTGCCTCCCAACAACCCGGAGATGGCTGCCCAATTAGTCCAGCAGCATTCGGATCCTCCTTTCAGGCCCTGTGGCCCTTTGAGGACACAATAAGGCTCCAATGATAACCTGGCAACCTAGGTAGAAACTCAGCCAAGTGTGAGCGTTTGAAGCTGCAGCTTGGCTGCCATCGTGTCGGCGAAAAGAAAGAATTCAGGCACCATGTCATCCAGTACAAAGGATAAAAACAGATTCAACCGGAAATTCAATGTGGCACCACATATGGGATACATGAGTGCGGTTACACAACAGGCCACATATTTTTTTTGAACAGTCTCCTGCATGTGATGCCGAGGACATGTGTAACCATCATAACGTCTCTAAGAATCTGTATTTAATTTGAGCTGGGGTGGTGGCAGGGATTGGAGATCTGAAGCCGCCACAGGTTTGTGGCAGATGGCTCTGTGTCAGCTATGACAAGCAGCCAGGCTCGGCTTCCTCTGCAGATTTTCTTTTCTCTCTGATCAGGTAAATATGGGCACACTCTGGAAACTTCCACAATTCTGCCTGAGGCTGCAAGTTTGTGACTTAGCCCCATCTGTCACAAATCTTCCCTCGGTTCTGCTGCGAGCAGAGACCTGAATTTACTGCCGAGCGCTGCCCAAGAAAACCCGTCCGTCTCGCCCTGCGAGGAAGCACAAGAGAGAAGGACACGGAACCGAGTTAGAGGCTGGGACACAAAATGCCAGAAGGATTTCAGGAGGGGTGGGAGCCACTTGGTCACAGAACACTTACGTAGTGTTATTTAAACATGGGGTGAATTTAGGGTTTGTTTTTTTTAAGACAGGTAAGCTGGTCAGAGGCCCAGGTTATTCTGTTTTTCTGGTGGTCTCATCAAAGACTGAACAGTCTCAGGGACCAATGTGCCCCTCTCACCCTCAGACATGGCAGAACCATGAGCCAGCAGGAGCAGGGCCTAGTTTTGTTAGACCAGGATCACTCTGGACTTTACTTCAGAATAATCTCTTTTTGGTTTTTTTGAGGAGTGGTAATTATGCAAATATCTGGACATTCATTTTTTCAAAGAATAAAATTCCATGAAAAAATGAATTTTGAATGAAAAATGAAAGACAAATTCCATTGTCTTTCCATCAACAGTTTTAAATATGTGGGGATCAAAAGAAGCAAAGTTTTCATATAAAGCAGCATCTTCCCATAAAGAATAAACAGCATGATGTCAGTAGCAGAACAGTATTTTTCATTAAATAATCAACTTGTTTCTAGTGTCCTAAGATCAGAACTGAAGCACTTAATACCTACTCTGCCATCACTGGACTTCAGAGTTAACCTTTAGACTTTTATAAGGAGTCGTCATCCATTTAGACTGGCTCTTTCAGGACAGCTCAAGTTCAAACACACAGTATTGATTTAGTGTAGATTTTTTGCACTTTTAAAAAAATTGCCTTAACAAAATTAAGATTTAGAGATTAATTTTCCACACAAAAGCCTAGATTTGGCAGGGAAGACTGGAATGATTTACAGACCAAATTGTATTGGGTCAGATCTACCCTGTGATCCAGCTCCTTCACTCTGCAAGTGAGTAAGGGGGAAGAATCAAGGTGGAAAACAGTTTGCAGCAATTATTTTTGGAGTTCAATTTTCAAACTCCAAGCACTTTTGG